TTTTTTTATGGGCAAACAACAGAAGGCTCTGAATTTTTACAAGTTGACCAAGCGTGTTGCTGCATCATTATTGTTCAATTACGATCACTATTCAAACAGAGAGCAGGCTGATAATTTTTTTTCCCACAGCTATTTACATGTCGTTGTTGGTAACTTTTTTTTAAAATTGTGAGTGTAAATATTCTTTAGTTAGTCTTTATACTGTAGATAAGAATTGTAGATAAATAATGCACATAAAATCAATTGTCGATAGAGAACGGCGTCAGTCATCTTATTAGTCCCATATTAATAGTACCGATATTTTGAATACTTCTCTTCCGCGAATTGTTTTATTGACAGTGACTCATCTAATTCTTATATAATCACTATAACATTTTAATCGAAATAGTTCACCATATCATAAAAGTTTGAATACCCACCCAATTCGTTGGCGATCCTCAGTGTATGTTACGTTAATGAAGCATGTCATACTCTACGACAAGGGAATGTGTATTACAATATGCCAGTACCTATTTTTTAGATTTTGACGCACTCCGTTCTGTTGTGTGTGTCTGCTGTTGAAAACAAACTTCCTCATTTTGTAACTCGCTATGATAACTGAGATGGACCATGTTGATTTGTTAATAGTATTTTGTTTGGGATGGAAAAAAGGAGAGTCAATTTCCCAAAAATGCTCCATCAGCAAATAGTTTAGTGTGCGCTATGGAGAGTATGGCTATGGAATTTACTAACCACACAATCCACAATCATTAAGTCGCAAAACTTTAGCTGCATTTGGTGGATTAAGTCGCAAAACTTTATCTTCGTTTGGTGGCGCCATTAATTTTACTCTAGGTAGACGGAGACCGGTTTTGTTACTGGTTGGCACATTTCTTACAAGCATTCAGCTAAAGGCCAGTGAAAGTTTTTATCAATGCTTGCCATCCTTATGGGGAGCTATCGTAAAGTCATGGTTTGCCGGAGTTCAATTTAAATCTCCGAACTTCTGAAGCTGAGATATTCTATGAATGTAGGCTTGTATCGCAGGCTACAATTTAAAAACGGGTGACCAATTAATAATAAATTAGGTGCTAAATTTTGATTTAATGTTGGGTAAGTTAAAAACAGACATTCTTTCCGAGTGGGACTCATTCAAAAATTCGAGGGGGTTCGCTAGAATACAGGGGGGTTCGCTAGAAAAGGGGGGTTCGCCCGAACCATAAACCCCCCCCCCCTGGCTACAGGCCTGGGACCATACTCACATGAGTGGGCTGGATTTTATTCTGACCATCCGAAAATGTAATACCGCACCCCTTTCCCACTCCACATCATGGATCCATCCCCTGTGGCAGGCCCATTACGGATCTATTATTAGTGCTTACATCAATTGCCTAACATAGGCCTATTCGTATCATGTTATTTTTCTCTTAATATGCAAATATCAGCACATTTATAGAATGTTTTTATTTCGTAGGTTTTCTTCTATTACTGTTATTTGTTTAGAAGATTTTATTAATTATTGTCGTAATGTTATCTTTAATTTATTGTTGCTATTATATTTTATTGTTGTACTGTATCAATATTTTTTGTTGTTGTTATTAGGTTAGGAATCACCTAAATTTCTCTGACGCCATTAGTCAAATTTCAAATATTCAACTAGAAATTAAAAAAAAAAAACACTTACAGTAAATTGTATACTTGCCAACTGGAGTCTTTCGACGTTTGCGCCCTTTTTCCTCCTTGACGTCCTGATTTGATGAACGCCATCGCGGCTTCGAGCATCCAAGCATCAATACATAGTAAGAACTAACAGGTATTTAAACCAATAAGCTAATATATAGACCTCTAGCATATGTAGTACCTTTTTGGTTGAAATGTGATGTTCCTTCATTTCTACTAACAAACATGATTAAACACAGGCTTTTCTTTTTCAGGGCAACGAAGCTAATAATAGATATTTTTATGCCTCAGTTGATATTATGCAATTTAAATACTGTATAGAAAATTTAGCTACTTTAAATTGAAAAAGGGGATTAATGATTATCGTATCTTAACGAATTGCAATGATAATATATGAACCATTCCATGGATAAAAATTCCAGATAGTCATTCTCATCACCATGCTAGGCCACTGTAATGTTAATAATTTGACATTAGATCATAATTATATCCAGCAACATTTTTACATCATTTTATCATTTATATCATCATCAATTAGAATATTTACGAATATGTATGTATATGCAAATTGAACTAACACTTAGGTCAATATTGTTGTTTAATTATGTTGATTATATGCAAATGTAGCGGAACCACAGGTAAGTTACTAACACAGCAAGACATCGCTTCGAGCATCCAAGCATCAAATCAAGTAAGTAATCACTATAGGAATTGTTTTGTGTAGTCAAAACAATCATACTAATACCGTACCAAATACCCACCTTGTAAACCACTCAATTATATTATCATAGGACTTATTTATTTACTTTTTATTTTATTTTATTTGTGCCGATAGTGGGTTAGGTCAGTATTTGATAATGGTAGCAGGTCTGCCTCAATGCGTCTTCAATTGTATCCCTATGAAATTGTTTCAATAAATCTTTACAAACAATTGACTGTGTCTTGACTCTTTCTACATTTGTATCTGTGTCTTTTTTTAATCACGTTTATTGTCAGCCCCCTACACCAAACATTATATCCCTATGAATTTGATAAGAGTAGCAGGTGCTGCTTCAATGCGTCTTCAATTGTATACCTATGAAATTGTTGCAATAAATCCGTACCTGTACAAACAAGTGTTCTCTTGACTCTTTCTGCATTTGTATCAGTCTTTTTTTAAATCACATTTATGGTCATTCCCTTATACCAAACATTGTATCCCTATGAATTTGTTTCAATAAATTGGTACATCAGAACATGCAATATGACTCATTTTTTTAAAGTGTTTTTTGAATTGTAATTTTGTAACTAATATTATATTAGAAATGGTGTCCACAGACAGTACAAAGGCGACACATTGTGTCACAGGTATTGGTCACACATGCATGTGTGCGGAATTAATGAATGTATTCCTTCAATACGTATTTTATAACATTAAAGTTCATTTCATTTCAGAAAAAAATCTGGTGATTTTTGATAATGATGCTTGCGGACATAATCTAACATACTGATTGGTTGGTGATACTTAATCTGCCAATTGCTAATTATCGGCGTGAAAGAGAAAAAAAGATGAATACGATAACGATGGTGGTGATGATGATAATGATGATCGTGATGATGACGACTATAACTATGTCTATAGTGACGATTAATATAGATTGTGAATTTTCGGGTGGTTCTTTTGACCTTGTGGATAAACTGACTTTGATATTACAAAATACTGTAATGACAGGTGATTGGTGATACAGTGATGACTTTAGTGACGATTAACGATAATTAAATAATGTACCTAAACTTGCAAAGATAAGTTTGATGTTTGAATATAATGATGGCGATATGATGCTGATAACTTGCAAAAGGTAATTTTTTAAGATGATGTTTGAATGTCTGAAAATTTTCAAAGCGATTGGTGGGGTTGTAAAATAACGTGAAATGGGCATAGGGCTATGGACTATGTTTACGTTTCTACATTAAAATGTGTTTTCATTTCAGAAAAAATCTATGTTTTGATAATGCGTGTGAATTTCCTAATAAATCCCATCAATATGCTATATGTAAGCTCGTGCTTCTCCTCCTGTTGGAGAACTATCAACTTTGAACTATAGGACGATTATAACGATGAGATGCGGATAACGAGGATGATGTTGGTGTAGTGATGGCGATATTGAAGATGCTGATGATAACGATTATAATGAAATGGTAGACCTGTAGGCTAATTCACAAAGGTAAGTTTCAATGCCTGGGCTTTGTGGTGAAATGACGTGAATAAATGAATGCATTTACTTCTAGTGGTTAGCTTAGTGTGACTACTTCATTCATTTGAAATTGTTCCCTCTCCTGTTCTGAGGATCATGGGGCCATGTTAATCCATTTTAAACCTCCTTGGTTAATCTAAATGATTTCACTCTTGATAAGAATCTTGTCTATAAAGTGGGGCGAGCACCCGTTTTGCTAACGCCATTGTGCTCACACGAGTTCAATCTTAATAATTGTTTAATCTTAATAATTGTTTAAGCAGAGCATTTTTACACTGCCCACAGAAGTGGTTTACATGATAGGCCTTGAATGCTTTTGAACTGCCACCGAATCAAACCTGACTGAAACTGTGTGCGATTGAAATACTTGTGGACTTTGGTGATTAAAAGTTGATTATGCTAAACTTAAGATTCAATATTGCTTTTTTTTAATTGTGCGTTCTCTTCCGAGTGATGGGAATGCGACCCCCATGTGTAATGAACAATGCAGTGACGGATGAGGGAGAGCCAGGGAAAGACTTTCACAGATAGAGGGTCTATCTCACCTCTGTCCCACAATGGTTGGGGCTGAAGTACGAAAATGTGATTGTCGCCTCCAGATGGCCAGAAATGGTAAGGCCTAAAGTCAGACAAAATCTGCCTCACTTGAATCCGTCACTGCAATGCTGTTGTAGATGAGTAAACTGGTTGATAAAAATGTATACGCATTGATGATTGTTGCTGTGGTTTGAAGGACAATTTATATCTTTGTACCACCTTATTGGGTTATTAGACCGAACCCACATCTACATGGTTTTCAACCTGATGAACACAAATCAATATTTCCATACATCATCCTTTAACAAATAACGATGCATTTGTTGTTATACAATATTTTCAGGAATTCAGAAGTGTGATTGACCCAATACCAGCACCTAGGAAGCGAAGTTTCATGGTTCGTCATAAGATGGAATGATGCAATCTGGTCGATTTAATTTAGAGGTGTCTAGTGTGTTTGCAATTGTTAAAGAAAACAGAACGTTATTAAACTCTGAATCATTTACATGGTATTGGTAGACTTACGACTAAGATTATATAGTTAAACCTACTTGTGATTGCAGTTGGTGACTAAATATTAAGTATGGGCTATATAGTAGAAAATTATGTTTAGTTGAAACAAGTTGCTTAATTTATAACGGTTTCAGCAATGATTTCGTGGTTCAACAAAACAGATAATTCTCTACTATATTTATGGAACCAGATGAAATTCTTTGAAAATGGACTATAGTAATATTTAATAAATATTTATGATAAACAATGATTAAGAATAAAGCAATCATCAATACAATATTGCTGCTTTTTTCATTTTGTATAATTTATCATTCTACCTATTGTTGGTGTTTTTTTTTTTGTGTTCATTATACAGTAGTAATTCGCTTTCATCATTTCATTTAATCCTAACCTAGTCCATCCTCTTTCATATTTAAACTCGGGTTCGTCTATAGTTAGGTTGTAGTTAAGTCAGATTAGCTTGATCTTTGTTTAAGGTGTAGAATAAGTATTAGCTAGGTTCAAAATGTAGTTTTCCTTCCTTAATGAGAGAAGAATGGGCAATACATTTAACCTACATTACTTAACATTAATTCAATGTATCCTAACGTAAATTTGTAAATATTTGTTAAACCTAAATTTTGAGTGATAATTTTTATATATTGAAATTTATTGTTTTATCATTGTTTCTGTTTTATCATTGTTTTTTGTTTTTGATATTTGAATTGACTTGTTGGCTGCGCAAGCCTGTTAATTCACGCTGCGTCCTGGTTTTTTGTAAATGCTTTCTTTTGTATATTTAATATGAATATCAATAAAGAGTGATTGAAGTTTCGCAAATTTACAAAAACGATAACGAATACGGTATGTCATCAAATTTGTATACAACCCTTCCCCAACAGTAGCATATCTGTCATAACGTAGGCGATTTATGCCTTTTGCACGAGTCATGGATTGTCAAGAATGTTTTAGCACGAATATGACGATAATGCTGATGATGACGTATTCGTTATAATTTGCGTGAGGTTGTAAAATTGTATAACAATTAGGCATTGCTTTACATTATGGACTCTTAACCAGATGGTGTGTTATACAAATAGTATTGAACAATAATGTTTACAACATAAAATAGACAATTAATTTCGGACGTAACAATAGCGCTAAAATAATTTATTGTGATAAATGTCATTGATTTGCATATGAAATTATAGTAATTTTTATGTTGATGCAAATTAAAATTATTAGTCAATTAGATATTATGCTTAATTGTATTTATTTGCTTACACCCACATCACGAGCATATATACAGTATATAATAAATACTTGTTCGATGAGTGATCGACGTGAATTGAGTGTGTAAGGGGTCCACTACATAAGAGAGAAATGAAGAAAAAACTATTAGTGTGACAAGGAATTAAAAGATGTACAGTACAGTGATTCTCGACTACATATCAAAGATCTTATAAACACAAGAAAGCGTTCTCCGCGATTTACGTGTGCAAATTCTGTAATAAGGCATGAATGACGCCCTCTTGCTAAATTGGAAACTTTTGACCCGTGACCGCTCTGACCATACCGTACACCGAGCGACTTTACCTTGGGTATCAATCCTGTGAACAGCAGCAGAACAGGAACCATCTCAGATACATGGCAACAGATAGGACGCCCTCTTCAAAAACTGAGTACTTTTTCTCTTTGGTATAATAGCGCATGAATGGCGCCCTCTTGCTAAATTGGAAACTTTTGAACCTTGACTGACGCTTCTATTTGTTACGCGTACATCGCGAAGAACGCTATCTTGTGTTTATAAGATCTTTGCTACATATTATACACCGCTCTAAGGGGGTACATTTTTTTGTCTCGATGGTGCTCAATAGAATAATTATGTTAACAAATGATAAGTACAGTAGTACTACGTACTATATAAATGTGTGGGATCTGCAGACGATGCTGATGGTTAAATAAAGGCGCTAACATAATATGACAAATGACCTACGGAGCTGGCGTGGTCCCAGTACCCAATGTTACCGGCTTCAACTTCTAATGACTATTCAAACAAGTAAATTTGTAAAGTTGCTGAAGTGTCTCAGGATAAATGACAAGATTATTGAAAATTGTTTATATATAGGCCTAGATTAGATACCGTAGATTATATATTACCGCTATATCTGGAAAACAATATAACATAGAAATAATAATGTTAATAGCTAAATGTCAATATGTCTGAAAGCAATTTATGGATAAACTATAGTACAGGTATCCCTCCAATCTAAAATATATAAATTTTCTCTATGATGCTACAATTAAAAAACACTTTTGGGAAAGGTATTTTATTGTCTTTAGCATCTTTGTTCTTTAATAAGAAAAAATATTACTATAAAAATAAAAGATAGGCATCCATATATATTGTGCCTCAGTAAAATGGTCTTTAAATGGAAGTGACATTTAATTGGAAGGGACTTTCTTTGGAGGGGTCTTTAATTAATAATAATATAATAATATAATAATAGTCTACCTCTATAGAGGTAGACTATTATTTCACTACATCAAGTAACTTCTAATATTGCGCCACAAATTTAAGGTGATAAGAATTATATTATATCTAAAATAAATATGAAAACAAGAAAATATGGCAAACAGTTGTTCTTTACTTTAAAACATTTTCATGCATTGGATTTTACATACACACACATATAAGAAAGCTTTCTCAATTATAGCGTAATTCCTTGAACTATGTTGCCGGGTTACTGTTTACTCTGAACTTAAATTATTTGCAATGGCCCATCATCCTCCTGGAACCAAAGAGCAACTTTGTTTCAATGGCGTATAGATTTTAATTTGCAAAGATGCTAGTTTATAAATTTAATACAGTCTTCCGTTCCAACCCTCACTATATGCGTATGGATGGGCCCTCAATCAATTACCGCTTTATCTTATAATGGCTGCTACATAAGAACCTCAGACCTCACGCAGAGGTCGTTTACGGCTTGCAACATCCCCAGCTACCGTAAAACTTCGAATTGAAGCCGTGGGCATCTTAAATTTTTTTTTTTTTTTTTTTTTTTTGCGAACTTTAGATGGGCTTTCTTTTCATGGTGGGCTTTTTTTTTTGAGATAGGCTTCTTTTGCAAAGTAATCAGGGGGACTTCTTTTCAGAACGAGTACTGTGAATTTGTATTATAAAGAACAATAAATACGGCCACTGTAACATTCAATCTGTATCATGGAGTGTATTTAATTGACATTAAATCACCTAAACTACTGTATAAACCAAGCTTGTTTAAATTTATTTATTTTATTTTTTTGATATTCATGTATAGTGTATATACTATACTATCTCGAAAAGAAGCCCAGGCCTATGCTATCTTGAAAAGAAGCCCACGGGCTTTTTTTCGAGGCTATTTTTGCAAACTGAAGAGGGGGATTCAATTCGAGATTAAGCCCACTGGGCTTCAATTCGAGGTTTTGGTATTATGTTTGTACAAAAAGTTTTAGAAAACAGAGGGCGAAAGACCGAAATCCTCTGTTATCAGCTCATCAAGCTGCAGCAAAAACAAAAATATCAGTCTGTCGCCCTCTATTATTATATCGTACTATCTGAAGGTTGCGGACACAATTATTATTTTTAATAATATTCAATAAAAGTTATTTATACAATAATAAATTGGTTAGTTAGCTTACAAATGTTTCAAAATCAAAATATTTACATGTACCTGGACCTTCGATTATTAATTTACCTTAATTGATTTGTTTCTTCTATGATGATCATGTTCGCCTTTCATACTTTGGGGAAACTACCAGTGGGGAGGCGGATGTCATGCTTAGCTGGTTTTAAGCACCAATAAACAACATATACTGCTGTACTGTCTACGCGAAACGTGTAATGATTCTGAGTTCTTTATAGGACGATTGTGTTTTTCATGCAGGATATTGATAAACATACGTTTCAGAGCAACGGTGTCTTCTAAATCGTGTTTCATCATACTGTCAACAATGTGTAAAAAGCACATATGTGTCCTGTTTACCTTACTTGCGAATGGTGTTGTTCTAGGCCTAGGCCTGCGTTTGACCGACCAGGACAGCAGCTTGAATGCGCTGGAACAGCTGGTGAAAGGTAACACGATTAGCATGCAAAGAAGTGCTAGAAGAAGTGTTGGCGAAGACCAGGACTGTAATTTCACCAAAACAGGCATGGTAAATGCGAATGATGCAAAAGCCTATAATTGTGTCATTGAAAACAGTGATTCACAGGTTGGTATTTTTATCAGTTATTCTGTAAAAATGTTTTGTACTAGAATAGTCATATTTTGGAAAATAATTTGACCTAATTCGTGAGGTACGGTGACATCCGGACGGGATGGATAACCCACTTCGTAATTAAAAAAATATTGGTTTGGTGGGATTGCTCTGTTCGTGAGTTATGTATCCGATCCATAAATTATACCACACTTTTGACAGATGTATATCAATTATACCACACTTTTGACAGATGTATAAAAAAAAATCACCAAAATATATAATCAAGTTTTTAAAAAAAATGCATCTCACCCATTAATATAGAAGTAGATACAGTAAAAATTTTGATATTTTAATACATATACCAATGTTTTCCATTTACAGGCTGTTCGAATTGAAGTAAATAGCAGTAAAGCCTTGGTCGACTTGCCCATTTTATTTGTTGTGAAACAGCAGAAGAGTGTCTTATCGTGGGCCGTACCTCATATCATTCAAAACAAGTAGGTAAAATTCAGTCAATCAATCAATCAATCAATCAGTCAATCAATCAATCAATCAATCAATTACTCAATCACTCAACCACTTAATAGATAACACACTCAACTTCATTTAAGCAGTGAAGAAAAATACTATATTTTTTGTTGTCATTCAGATATAAATATGATGTAGTCAGCCATACACTTTGTCCTGAACAATCAAATGACACCAACCCCAAGAAGATCAATGTCGCTGTCACCACGTCCTCTGATGTTTCAGTAAAGTTTCATTTGAAGGTGACACAAGTGCCAAACTTCAAGCTTGAGTAAGTAATACTACTTGGAATGAGACCATGATTCAATGTCTCGACCCTTAATGGGTCATTTTCTAATTTATTGTTTAAAGGTTTGGATGGCAAAGTAATAATATATTTTTGCTTGCAGTAGTTCTGAAAAAAACTGTTATTTGTTGAGGATGTCTTGACGTTTCAGTTGAGTTGCTTCAACCGTCTTCAGGTGAATAATATCTGCAGGGAATTCAAACATGGAAATACTTATTATATTACATCTTCAAATTACTACTGAATTAATAAGAAATATGAATTCTTGTGTAATGAATACAAGAATACAATACCGTACTCGCACGAATAAGCGCCATGTTTGAATAAGCGCCCCACTCGATTAAGCCCCCCTCCTAATGTGAAAATTTTCTCAAGCGCCCCTTCTGAATGAGCGCCCCTTCTGAATGAGCGCCCCGTTTGAATGAGCGCCCCTCTAAATTTTGAATAAGCGCCCCCTCAGAAATATCATGTGATTTTTTTTTTTTCAGAAGCCACTATCAATCAATCCTGGGACTGTGGTTGGCATTCACATTTTCTTCTTATGTCAATTCCGAAATGAGGATATTTCTCCTGGACAGATGAGAGTTTTCCAGACAGTATCTTTCCAAATTTCCTCTCTTATCTAGGCAAAGTCCTACTTTTCTTTTTCTTTTCCCCACAATTTGCACCTTTAGCACGTTCTCATCTGAGATTGCAAGCCCTGCAATGGTTCTGCTAATCTCAATCAGCAGGCCAACAAGATTGCCACTACCACCATAATTTCATCTGCTTTGTGTAAATACTCACAGCATCCTTGTCATGAACCATGCTGCTATCTGGACGATTATTTTTCCGCACCAGAACCATTTGTAATCTTGCGTTTCTGGATGTCCTTATGTAATATTTTTTCATTCAAAAAGCACCCCTTGAATTTTCCAAGTTTCCATAAGAACCCCCCAATTCATCTATTTCCATAAGCACCCCCTCAATTTCCACTCTGTTTGAATAAGTGCCCCTCAAAACGCACAAAAAATATTTTAAGCGCTCAGGTGCTTATTCGTGCGAGTATGGTATCTATTATTCTAAACATTGTTTTATTTATTTTTTCATTAGGATGGACAAGAAAAGTTCTATTGTAGTAACACCATCACAATCTCAGGTAATTACTTTAATTCATTAAACATTTTAAATATTATTTTTAATCCTATCTAATTTTGTTTTAATTTGTTGATATTCTTGATGGTGCCTCCATTTTTTTTTGTCTATTTGTGCACTGTATTCATCCTTCATCTGTACTGTTCATACTGTATCTTCATTCGTGTGCTACAAATTGCTAGAAAAAATAAGGATGTGCTATTCCGTTTGTCACTACCCAATTGGAAATTGTGTGATGGGAATTTTATACTCAATAGGCTTTCACATTAGTGAAGTCACTTGTTTGTATTGTGAATATTTTACTACATCTTCATTGAAAAAACTGTAATGCTCATTGGAATGGTAATAACAGATTATAGATTCATACAGTTGATGAACCATAAGGAAAGCATACAGTATGTGCAGATATGTGGAACTGCATTAAATGTAAATCAGGAGTGGGCATAAAAATGTTTTGGAGGGCAATACTGAATATTTTATTTAACAAGGAAGGCGGCAAATAAAAATGTGCTTGAAAAAACCTTCATACATTGCTATTATATTGCTATATGCTCAGTTTTAAAGTAACTTTCTGCAGAGGTTCAGCTTTAGCAAACGTTCAGCAAACGGCTTTCTAGCCAAAGATGGCAGACGGGCCGGACACATGGGGTTTTTAATTCATTTTCAACAAAATTTGCCATTGTGCTGTGTGCTGTACATGATGCGAGGCATGCACATTGCCCACCTGTGCTTTAGATCGTAAGCCAAGGATTTTTTTTTAAATTTTTGCTAAAATCGTCATGTGCCATGTCTTTTTGAAAAAAAAGAAAATCAAGTGCATACATTTTGCCAAGCCATGCAGTAAATTTAACCAAGTGAATATTTCCCAGGAAATACGGCCAATGCACTTGTGCAGCAATACCCAGGTAGCTTCGCCTTGGTTTAAAATTTAATTGAAAGCAAACACAACTTTATTTATGTTTGATCTTTGCTGAATTAGCTGCATGATTGAGACTACTGTGAAGAGAGTGAAGGATCAAGATGTGCATAATAATCCTGCATGCAGTGGCTTATCTAGGAGTCTTGAAATGGGGGGTGTGGGGTGTCTGGGGGGGGGGAACTCAAAGATGAAGTACAGTAGGGGTCTTGATGATTCGGTGAGGGGAGCTAGCCCGCAAAATGAGTTGATTTCAGGTGATTTTTAACTGCTTAAGCATGATTTTATGCTTCAGACATCTTCAATGGGGGAGGCAACTGGGGTGCCAGTATATTTAGAGAGGCATGCACCCGTACCTGTGCCCCCATCCTACGACCCCTTGCATCCCTAGATGCAGTGCCTGCATGATTTAGAGTGTAAATTGGGTATAACTCCATCACATGCGAGTTTGTGAATATGAATATTCATATATACCTGTAATATTAAAATTTAATATTATTTATCAAGATTCAGGTTGAATTCATTGAACTCAATGGAGTCTATTGTAGGAATGCCCTTGGAAGCCTCAGTTAGCAGATCAATAATACTGTGCATTGACTTGATGGCACAATACTTCTGTACTGGCAAGTTGATATAATTAGCTCATTATTTAAAAAAAGTCATTTATTGAAAGTGAGTTCATGTCACATAATGAACTAGTAGAAGACATGTATAGAATTTTGTATCATTCGAGTACTTTATCCATTATTAAAAGTGGATTTTGTAATAGGAAGGGCAGCTACTGTAAATTATTGTTCAATCTCTATAGCAGGGGTGGGCATAAAAATCGGTTAGAGGGCCAAAGTGAATTTGATTTTTCCAGTGAGGTTCTAAAATCTCCGATCACTGCTTTTTACATCACTTTATTCTCAGTTTTAATGTTACTTTTTACATATGATTGGAGTCGGGCCTTTTTCTATCCAATTTTGATTGGCGGGCCGCAAACATAGGGTTTTTAATTCGTTGGTTAGAAAATTGATAGGTCTGAATTTTACAGATTAAAAATTTTTTTTTTTATAGATCTAAAGGTTATGCTTATGAATGATATACAGTATTGACAATCATATATTATATGATATTATATGATGATTAACATTTTTGATGATATGATATGATGATTAACATTTTGTTAAACAAAATGAATACATTATCAGTACTTAAATTTGTATTATTTTTCCTTATCAAGAAATTTTTATATATATATTTTGTAATAATATTTCATAATATCTTGGAGATTATTATCAGATGCATATAGAATCTCTTGTTTAAATTTACAGTGAACTGACCTACCTAAGAAATATTATGCCTGTTTATTAATAATAAATAAAGAGTTTTATTTATTCATGGAGGCTCATTTTAGTCTTTTACAAAGATAATTTTTTTCAAGAGGCCGTCTCCTTAAACTACTCGGTAAATAAAAGACTTCAAACTAAGTGGTTTTTTTTTTTTTCAAACTAGTATACAAAAATTGTATTTATGTTACCCAAGCTTTAAACACAAGTAATCATTTTTTAAATGAGAAAAAAAAGACACATATAATAACACAGTCTTGATAAATCATAGCCTGCAGACCATTTCATGTGGCATACAGTAGCGTATTGACCGAATATACATGCCAAAAGCGGTAGAATTTTTGTTGATAATGATTATAAAAACTGAATGCTACAGAAAAGATTATCAATAATGGAATTGTCATAAAAAATATGATATCAGTAATTTGTTTACTCTATTTAACCTACTAAATTCAGGATTGCCTTACATAATATATAAACATTTTTTTTTTAACCAGTCATTCTATTCAAGCAAAAGACATATGACTCAGTGAATACCAAGCAACAAATGACCATGACTTTACAACAATTTAAAAGTAATTAACCTATTAGTATTTGTAAACACTTGAGTCCAACTTGAGTTTAGGCAATCAGCAATTTGCATGTAGTTTTAATCAACTGATTTTTAGAACAAGTTTTAAATATAACAGTGATGATAAACCATAGGCTTTAAACAACATATAGTCATGAGTATAAATAAAGCAATTATTATTAAATCCTGAAAATTGGTATGTAGCTAAAGGAAACATATGCTTTCTCTATTTCTTGCCTTTACAATAATATTGTCAACAATCTTTATCATAAATACATAGGCCTATATATCTGTAAATTATCACTGGAGTATTTTGATTGATCTGGAATGCAGTAATGGATCAGGGGGTTTTTTGGAGGCGCGGGTGTGTGTCAGGAATGAGGATTGCAAGTAGATTTATTTAATCAAATTAAATTATACAAAATACAATATAAATTTATTGTTGTCGCGTAACAACATACTGAAAAAATTTAGTTTCAGTTGCAAAAATATACTGTATAAAGACATACTGTACAGCCTATAAACTATAAAAAAATAAATAAAATAAATAATATAATATATACAAAAAAAAATAAAAATATAAAATATATACAGTAGGCCAACTTAGTACTGTATTGCCAATTGGTAAATTTCCTGCTAATTTCATTAAACAACTGTATTTACCCATTCCCAAACCTGAACATAATTTTAATATTAATAATAATGTTAACGTGGAGATATAATTTTTTTGTTGGTTCAAAACATAATTTTAAATAAGTAAAAGGAAAATAAACAAAGTACAGTGTAGGCCTAATTGATATTGTTCTCGAATTTAGCCGGCTTATTTTAGTGAGGAAACCAGACAGAAAGTAAGGAATGTTAACATATCACAATTGTGAAGAAAAATTCAAGAGGCATGTAATGACCCTAGGACGGGATTTGCCGTTGGCGGTTGAAAAATAGAATCGTTATCAAGATATTTTGTCTGCAGCCCAGCACGATCAAGACAACTCGTTTCAGTTCAACTTGTTGTAACAGTCATAAGAATTGCACCAATCATAACAAATGTAGAAATTTTGATTCTGGTTTGAAACCAGGCTCAAGTTACTGTATAATAATCAACTATAGTTTGAACATGATAACTTCTATTCAACCAAGGACTGTTTTCCAGTGGTGGCTGGGACACTCAAGCCTGGATAAACATCATAACAATGATATTCCTGTAGTTCATTATGATTACAAGTAATTCATTAACTTAATTATTATTGACTGTTGACTATTGTAGCACACTCTTCATTGGTCTTTCGAAGAACCGGGGGAAGATTCTGCAACGTGTCCAAAATACTGCTGCCCACACATATATTCGATCACATCTTCCCAGTGCTAGCAGACTTTCATTGGTTACCAGTGCAGCAACGGATACAATAAGGTGTTGGTCCTGGCATATACACGGTCACAGCACAATCTGGCTCCTCATGGTTATCTGAGCTTGTGCAGATTTCCCAGCCCACAAGGGCTCTAAAGGTCAGGTGCCCAATGTCAACTCGTTGTTCCAAAGGCTAGAACATCCACCTATGGTGGGAGAGCTTTTCCTGTTGCAGCTCCGACTTTGTGGAACTCCATCAGAGACAGTGTGTTACTAAAGACCTTTCTTTTCCATTACGTTTTTCTTTAACATAACATCCTTATTCTGTTTGTTTATGTACAGCACATTGAGAGCTTACTTACTTGCGCTATAATAAACTATTATTATTATTATTAGTATTGAAAATAATCAAACTTTATGTTTAAATCCATAATATGAATAGGCTATTTACGTAGTCAAGTATATCATTACTTATAATTTAGCCTTACTGTGTCAGTTAGGCAAAAAGTCAAGCAATCTTGATATTTAAATCATGCAAAAAATAAAATATCTTACTCTTAAGTGTACATGAAATGAAAATAATATGAATGATTGATAAGGCTAAAACCAGTTGTTTTCCAAGTGTTAGTGGCACCTACTGTAGTAACTGTATTTCAATTATCTAGAGTCAGCTTTTGGTTACCAAAGAGAAATCTAAAATACTTGTATGATGCCTAAAATGGTGTTTACCAATTTATTTAGCAACCAAGATTTAATAATTTTATTGCAATACAAACAGATGTCTTGAACTTTACAATTTATATAAAATGAGAAAACATACATGACAACATTATATACAGTA